CAAACCCTGTTGTGTCCCCCTACCCTCCATTCTGTGGAGACAGAATACAGGGTAGGAGGGGAGTACGCGGACATCAGTGCCCCTCCTCTCCCTTTCCTGTTCTCCATAGCAAGCAGGAGGCTCCTGTGAGTAGGACAGCTCCAAAGCAAAGAACAAGAGAAACACAGCAGTGGGGGATGCATACCGGACTGCATCCTTCCTGTATAGGCTCCCCCTATTCCAAAAGTGACCCCAGTTCCTAATAAATCTAAACCCCTCCTCCCTACACCATCGTCTCATCCAGGCATTGAGACTCTGAAGTTCTGCCTGCCTACCTGGCACTGCGCATGGAACTGGAAGCATTTCTGAGAATGCCACCATAGAGGTCCTGGATGTCAGTCTCTTTCCTAGTAGCCTAAATTTGGCCTCCAGGAGATCTCTCCCACGCATCCCTATGTCACTGGTATCTACATGCCACAACCACTGGCTCCTCCCCAGCACTACACATAAGTCTATCTAGATGCCTCGAGAGATCCACAACCTTCACACCAGGCAGGCAAGTCACTATACAGTTCTCCCAGTCATGACAAACCCAACTATCTACATTTCTAATGACTGAATCACCACTACTAACACCTGCCTCTTCCTAACAAATGGGATTCCCTCCTCTGGAGAGGTATCCTCAGTGCTAGAGGATAACATCCTTTGGAAGGAGGGTCTCGACTATGGGATGGTTTCCCATTGACTGATCTTTTCCCCCGAGCCTTTCATCCTCCTTAACAGTGCTGGGGCTGTCAGATTGGAGGTGGGACGGTACTACAGTGTCCCGGAAAGACTCATCAACATACCTCTCTGCCTCCCTTAGCTCCTCCAATTCAGCCACCCTGGCCTCCAAAGCCCGAACTCTGTCTCTGAGGGTCAGAAGCTCCTTGCACTGGGTGTACATACATGCTAGCTGCTCACAGGGCAGGTAATCATACATGTTACACTCAACCGCAATAACCATGATAGCCCCCACTCTGCTGCTGGGCTTCTGTCTGCATTTTCTCCTATGAATAAAATTTGATTATAGATGGGGGTTATTTAAATGTGTGGGATATAGTTTAAAGTTTTACATTTAAAGAAGGTCAGAAGTAACTGGCGTCCTCTAAGCGCCCCCTCTAAACTACCCTCTCAAAACTCCCTCCTGTTAGCAATAACCCTCGTCACAAGCTCCCTGGTCACTTACTAGCAGGGTTTATAAAGCTCTGGCCTTCCTGATAGCTCCTCCCTCTGACTATGGCTTGACCAATGAGCAGAGAGTTTTAGATTTCAAATCCTAATTAAGGCACAGAGCCTATAATTGCCAGCCCGAGCACACGGCCTTTCAAAAGAAACACTATGAATCTGAGGAAGTGTCTGAGTGGTGGGTGTATTGCGACGTGGAAACAAGCATCCTGAAGGTTGAGGGTGGTCAGCCAATCTCCTTTCTTGAGGGCAGGTATGACTGTGGCGAGGGTCACCATTTTGTAGTGTTGATAACGTACGTACCGATTTAATCTCCTGAGATCTAGTATAGGTCTGCAACCCCCTGATTTCTTGGTTGTGAGGAAGTAGTGAGAATAAAAACCTCTTCTCCTGTGCTCAAAGGGCGCCTCTTCTATGGCTCCCAATTGCAGGAGACATTGTGCCTCTTGAATGAGCACATCTCATGTGAGAAGGGTCCCTGAAGTGGGATGGGGATGGTGGATAAAGGTGGGTGGTGGAAGTAAAATGGATTACGTAACTCGTGTTGATGATCTCGAGAACCCACTTGTCAGTCGTAATGGATCGCCAGGCAGGAGAGAATGCTGCTAGTCTGGAGCCAAATGTGGTATAAGGCTTGGATTGCCGCCCTGGATGTATGGGGGCTGTCCAACCCTCGACCAAGACTTCAAAATGACTGATGTGCTGGAGCTTGTTGTATGAAGGGTTGGTCTGATGATTGTCTTTGTCTGCGTTGTCTTGAATGCCATCTGTTGTCATATTGTCTAGTGTGATTGAAAGGCGTCGGTTTGTATTTATATGTAAATTGTCTATTTTGCTTTCTTCTATTGGCAGGACGATGGATGCATGCTCATCACCACTGCAGATGCCAGAGCTCTAGAAGCTGTATCTGCGGAATCAAGGGCAGACTGAAGTGCAGTTCTAGAGATCAGATAACCTTTCTTCATCAAAACTTTGTATTGCTCTCTTTTGTTGTCTGGTATACTTTCAATAAAAGTCAACAGTTGGTCAAAGATGTGGTGCATGTATTTGGAAAGAAGCACCACATAGTTGGTGATGTGGAGCTGGAGGCTGGTGGAGGAGTATGATCTCTTGCCCATGGCATCAAGCCTCTTCCATTCTTTGTCATATGGGGTTGATCGCATAGTCTGCTGTTTACCCCTTTGGTTCGCCACCTCTACCACTACAGAGTTTGGAGAGGGGTGAGTGAAGAGGAATTCTGCACCCTTTGGGGCGACATAGTATTTTTGATCAAGTCTCTGATGTAGGTGGAATTGTCACTGGAGTCCTTCCAGAGAAGCTTAGCTGGATCTATCAATGCCTCATTCATGGGTACCGAGACCCTAGTTTGTACTGAGGAGTGAAGAATATTAGTTAGCTTCTGCTGTGTGTCAGTAGGAGTGGAGAGGGATATTTCTAGTTTGTTGGTTACCCTCTTAAAAAGGTCCTGAAAGGCCTTGAAATCATACCCCAAACTCATGAGCGATGGGGGCATAAGTGTGTCTGCCAATGAGGATGGAGAAAAGTGTGTAGGTGGGGGGAGTGGGAGGGTTGCTCCACCCCTGTGGCATCCACGTCATCTTTGCCTTAGGAAAGTTCAGACCTATCTAATGAATGGAGGCTGGGAAGGCGAGGTCTGGCAGAAAAGTGGTATTGGTGTCCTGGTTGGGGACGGGGCTGCTGTCTGAATGGTGCCCACGGGTCCCAATACGGCAAATCTGGAGGCATGAGTGGCAGCACCCCCTGCTGTTGCCACTGTTGGAGCTGCACCAGTTTTGGTGAGGTGGTCTTGGACACTCGAGCTTGAGGTAAGTCTTCCTTCTCAGAGTCACTAAACTGTGCTGATACAGGCAGGAGTACCCAAAAAAGAGTTAACTGCCCCCCTTAATAGCGTAGAGGCAGCAGTATGAGATTTTGCGTTTGGCAGTTTCCTCATCGGGGATGTAGACCCCGAGGAAGTGTGAGACCTCTTCCTCACTGAGGGAGATTTTCCCTTGGGTTTTGAGCTTGCAGCTGAAAGTACCCTTTCACCAGTCTCTGCTGTTGGTGCACTATGCCTGAGAAGTGAGTTTGGAAGACAGTCTGAGGGAGATTTCAAGGCTTTCTCCATTTGTAAAATGTGAAATTGAAGCTGTCTGGCTTGCCATGTGCACTTAGTCAATTTCTTCCAATGCTGGCAGCGCTCTGTATCGTGATCTTGCCCCAGGAAGCAGATACACTGAGAGTGGCCATCTGCTACAGATATGGACAGACCACAGTCCAAACACCTTTTAAACCTAGGCAAGCTGGGCATGTCCTGAGTAGTATATGTGGAAACAAGGCAGCCGCTATCAAAGCAGAGCTGCGGGAAGCAGCGAAAGGCCACCTGATGGAAAAAACTCGTCATCTTTTTTTTTTCCCCAGGCTGAGTAACGCCAATAACAGAAATAGTTGAAAGGGACTAACCAAACAGAAGACTTTTCTTTCGAACTGTGCTGGGGGTATATTTGCTAATTTACAGTGCCAGGTAGGGGGAGGGAGGGGAAATTAGCCAGCCTTACCACCTCGGTTCCTGCGGGCATTCACCGCCCCAGACCAGCCTCCGGGCAGGGGAGCGCTCACTTCGTGGTTCCTGCGCAGGTGAGTAAAAACCCCCCCTGTATTCCCTGTGCACGAGTATAGCCCGTGGGGGAAGGGGGGGGGTTTCGGGGTTTGTAAAAACAAATATAACCCGCATGTTATATTCGCTAAAATACGGTAAGTGTGCGAAGGCAACTGCTGAGCTGTGCCCAAAACCGGTGATGGTCAGAGAAGAACTGAGGAGCTGGCTGGCCACAGATGTGTATTATCGATTCCAGGCATCTTGGGCCTGAGCCTCATGCGTGTGGCCAGCCAGGGGGGCACTGCCACTACCAATCTCTGACTGGTGGGCACAGCAGTGCTGGCGCACCTAAAGATGGAGCACCCACAGGGACACTCCTCCAAGAAGGGACTGTGGTTACTCAGTGATATAAGAGCAGTGCTCACAAGAGCAGCCTAACCATTGCCAGTTTGGGGGTTGGAATCCTAGCAAGAGTTTTGAGGATGGATTTAAAGGTGGATAACAAAGGAGCTTTGCAGATATTCCTGGGGAGCATCTCCCAGGCAGAAGCAGAATTATGGACGAAAGCACCAAGGGACCCATTAGAAAATTTAACAAGTGGGCATCGGAAGCTGGCACCACAGGCTAACTGGAGGCAACCTTCAGTGACTCAGTTGGGAACAAGACATGACAGGGAGGGTGGGAATTGGCTAGAAAGTCTCAGAATATAAGTAGTTTATGCATGATCCAAAAGAGAAAGGGAAAACTGTGGAGAGGTTTAAAGACTGTAGAAACAGTGTCAAATCAACAGTCTTTGTAAATTATCTTTTACAGCAGCATTCTGAATTAATATGAGCAGGTCAAGACTGCATTTGTCAAGGAGGAAGAGGATGCTGCAGTAATCCAGACATGAGATGATGAGAGCATGGATGAAGTTTTAACTGTGAGGATGCATAGAAAAGGCTGCATCCTAGAGCTGTTGCAGAAAAAAATATGCTTTCCCCCT